TTTAAAAGTGGATGGAGAAATGATGTAGGTGTTATGTGTCGAAGACCACCCAGCTGCTGAATCATAAGCTAGTTTGCTTATAACAGCTTTAAATATCCACTGAAACCACAGCTCAAACAAAACAAGCACGTATGTTTAACTTGTAAATGTTTAACCATCAATCAACATCATAAAAACCGGACAGAATCCTGGCTGGATGTTCCCTTTCTTCCCCTCCAGACTCTTCAAGCAGGTCCCCTCCACTTCTCGTCATCTCCCTCTTCATCGTTCTCACAACCCCCTTCCCCTGTTTTATTCCCCCAGTTCCTCTGCTGTGTAGGACACTGGGCATATGCCACAATGCCACTCCCTTTTTCTTTTTCTCCAATCTGCCCTTAGCTCCGTGACAGCCATCAATCAGCCGCTGCTCCATGGCGACGGAGCCCTCGGGGAGCGCTCGACAGGCCCAGTGTGAATACGCCGGGGCTTTACGAGCAGCGCTCACCTCCCCCCACACCTAGACAAAGGCAAAGGTCCAAGGACTAGTACTGTCCACACACACACACACATTTGACTGACCCCTAATAATCACAAAGAAAGACACAATCAGACACAAAATGACACGGGGAGTTTTTACTATAGAAACTCAACACCACAGCGTCACACACACACACACACACACTGATGTTTTATCTCCTTTATTTGTCTAATGTTTTCCTTGGTAAGAAAACTGTCTCGTGCCAAACCAATTGTGTAAGAGATTGTATTGTTAACAATATGAGATAAAGCATATCTAGGTTTAAAACATTACGAATAATTACATAACATAAGTATAAATTAGCACTGCACAATATTTGGCATATTCATCAACATTTCTATATGACTGGCCACAATATCTCTAATTTATGGATTCAAAATGCACATTTCTCTAGCCTCATGGGGACTTTGCACTGGCTTCCATTTATTTTTCTGTCCCAGGGGTGTCAAACTCCAGTCCTCGAGGGCCGCTATCCTGCATGTTTTAGAGCAGGGGTCCCCAAACTTTTTCCTGTAAGGGCCACATAACTTTTCCCTTCTCTGGTGGGGGGCTGGAGTCAGTTTGTAACGGAAAAAGTGTGACTATTGCAGGAGTGCCTAAATGTAAAAATTTATTGTTTTCCAGAAAGCACAATCAAATAACCCRCTCTGGGTTCTTCACAGTATGTATTCTGCTGAGCTAACAGTCCACTTTTTAGCTTTGAGAGTTTGTTTGCTCGCATTTGGCCTTGCAAGCTATCCTACTTGTCTTTGTGACGGGATTCATAGTGTCACCGCAGATTGTATTCTTTGAATACCGCCACCGCCTCTTGACAGATGAACAAAAAATAATCGTTTGTCAACTGCAGCTTAAATACCCTGCATTCTGAATCAATTTTTTTCTTACCTAATCTTTTCGCCATTATTCCATTCTCTCTTTGAGAGAACCAGGTTTAGGATTTTTTTTCTGGGGGTTGCCAGATAGGGGCACAGACCGCAGAAGGGTGGAACAGAATGTCACGTTATATGCGTGTATGTATGAAATAGTTACTAACTAATAATAGTTAATAATGAAAATACTTCATAACTAAGGAACATTTTATTGCAAAAGTCCAACTTTATAATCAAATATAAATACACATATATGAAAAAAAACCTAAATGCTCTCTGGTATTGTTCTGGGGYCCAGACCAAATGGGGAGGCGGGCCGTAGTTTGGGGACCACTGTTTTAGAGGTTTTCCTGCTCCAAAACACCTGATTTTGATCGCAGGGTGATTAACAGGCTTCTGTCCAATTTGAAGAGTTAATTCAATCACTGAATCAGGTGTGTTGGAGCTGGAAAACCTCTAAAACATGCAGGATAATGGACCTTGAGGACTGGAGTTTGACACTTACCCTAAACCTAACCACCTCAGTACATACTAGGGTTGGCAATATTGGCAAAAAAAATTAATCACGATTAATTGTGCTATTCAGCCGATAACGATTAATTTGACGATTAATCCCCTGGAGTCCCTGGACACCTTTATGTCCTACTAGTCACATGATCAGTTTAGTGGGAAAGATTTGCTCTTTGTAAATATCTGTTCCAAACTGTGTCAAAATTAAAGACTTCAGGATGTACATCAAATTTTAAATAAATAAATTACGGAACGTTTTTTACGTTCATCATATTTGAAGCAGAGAGGAGCACCGAGCGGTCAATCCGCCTGGTGGCATTAATCGTATTAATCSTCAAGTGCCAAAAAATAATCGATTAATGTTTTTCTGACGATTAATTGCACARGATACGATTATGCCCAACCCTAGTACATACCTATCCCTAAACCCATAAACATCATCCAAACCTGTGGAGACCAGGCTTTGGTCCCCATAAGGAGCACTGGGTCCCCACAAGATGTTGAGTGTCTGAAAAATGGTCCCCATGATGTAACAAATATGGGTCCACGCACGCATTTGTACTTAGCAAAAAATAATAACAATAATAAGGACCTTTGTGTTTGGTAGATGATTTATTTGTTGTAACAATGCTTCTTGGTAATAAATCATATACGGGGCACCTGATTGGCAGCACTTGGGGATACCAGAAGCTCAAAACAAGTGTCAATAGAAACAGCTGAATAACCTGTTTGACAGAGAAGATTTGGCAATTTCTTCATGTGTGCAACCTGCATACTCAGCCCTACTGTTCACCCCACAAATGCATGTTCCTTACAAATGTGGCACCATTTAAAAGGAAAATTATCAGGCTTTCCAACGGTATWCAAATTTACTTACTTTTTGTGCTACGTTTATATAAATAACTCCCCCGCCAATTCTCCTAGGGTTGGGGGGTATAGAGTGTATTGTGAGCAGCATGCTGACAGGACATATGGGTTTATCACAATTGACAACCATTGCAATGTTCAACAACATCACATTTACATTTCTCTYCAGTGCCATAAATATATGATGTCTGAAACCAACGTTTTTTTTGCTCAGTATTTTTCTCACAACACGCCTAAATAAACTGCCAAACGTAATCAGTTGTCATGAAGACGGTGAAATTCAGAAGCTGTCAAATAAAATATCTCCCTTCCCCCCTGTAGAGGGCTTGCCTTGGAATAATGAGGAATGTGCTTATTAAAAGGGCACAGTCAAACTGTAGTCTCCCTCCCGAATCCTAGGTCACCTGGCAGATCTAGAGGCCTGTTGCCCTGACAACCCTATCTGCCAAGAGCAGGACCAACATCTGTGTTTTAACCCGCTACTGCCCGATATGCCACTGACCTACCAACAAACTCAGTTCTGCATTAAACATCCTACAAAATGTTTACCTGCACATGTATCTCCTGTGCTGATAAAGCAAAACCATATTATTTGTCGTGTTTTTTTTTTARATGAGCTATTCGTTTGCCTAATCTTTCGAGATGAAAAAAAAAATTAAAATAGAGGCCGCTGACAAACAGCTCACACATTTTGTGATCTGCTTAGGAGTCTTTTTTTGTTTTCTGAGTGCTGACTCAAAGCAGGAAACAGCGCAGCCAATGAGAATGCCTCCATCTTAAATATAGCATAATTATCAAGATGCAATACATCCACATCATGCAAATATGCAAGCACTACCATAACAGGAGCAATGCACAACCAAATGAGACACACACATTGTTCATTTTAAAAGTCAGCATGTATGCCTGTTTCTATGGCTATACCCTTTGAAACCCATTAGGATTATGATACTGATGGTTGTACATTTCAGTGTGTACTTGAGGTCTTTATCCACAAAAGGAAGAGAAAAAAATCAAACTGAGGTTGAAAATTTTAAGATTATGTAGAAAACTACATTTCCCCCTTCGTGTTCATATTGAAGACAGGGATCTTGGCGTGGGTGGGGGGTGATGATACTCGACAGGTCTCACTCAGGAAATGCTGACATCAGCTTCATTTTCCCAGAAGCCTACAAAGGCTCATCGTTTGGGGGAATCATTCGATCAACACCCCGACAGATTTTAAAAGTATTCGAAATGGCTTCGGTTGTTAAATGCAGACTTACAGACTACATTTGGACTTGTGATATAAATAAATGAGCATACACTAGAGCTACACGGTATTGGAAAAAAAAATAAAGTGTGATTTTTCTCTAACTTTCTTGTAGGTATTGTGATATGAAAAAWATACAGGAATATTCATTACTTGAATTGGGTTTTAAGTTCTTCTGCAATCTTGTTGACAATGAACCTGAACCTTTCTTACCTTTTTTGTTAATGTGACAAGTACAGTATGTTATTTTTCTGTATTTGAAGGTTATTGTTTTATTTTAATTGTTTGCTTTCATTCTGCTGGGACTTGAGTACGTTTCCTTCTATCATGTACAAATGTGAATTGCATTTTWCTACCTAACATGTTGCCTCTGTGTTTATCTTATCTTCTGTTCCCACCACCCATTAACATTACCATTCATGCTAACCATATTTGACCTCTTTTSCTCCAGTTCTCTGTAAACTTTCAAATCTTCCTCATTTTTGTCAAGATCCTCGTCTTCCTCCACAGCTCGAGAATTCTCCGACACTTTTCCGAAAAACGTTGCTACTATTGTCCCAGACGTTTCACAACAAAATGAAAGTTTTAGCTTTTGCAACACAAAGCCACCCACTTCCAGAAGCAACTTGTCAAAATAAAAGCCCTAACACACAACTATTTAGTGCAATGACTTATGGTTTAGTCCCAACATAACACATTGATTTAATTTTCCTCCTTCATCGCAGGATCTGCATTGTGACTATTGCACACTTACATTGTGAGGATGATGTTTAATGACATATCATGCAACTCTAGCATACACAATTTAAAAAAGGGAGAAATAAAATGTCTTAAAATGTGGAAAATTTTGCTGGAGTGTTGTGAGACTGAGATAACAATCCCTCCACCCTCCTCACAGTTCCTAAAAAATTCCAACCTGAGCTGACGCCATGTTGTTTACATTACTTTGGCTCGTAAAGGAAAAAGGCAGCTAAGCAAAACTCACATAATCATGGAAGGCTTTCGCTTCACTGGAGTGGTCACATGTCTCTCTCCTCTCTGGTGCGGCACAATACAAGTCCCAGAAAACACTGTGGAGACAAGAGAGGTCATGAAGAAAACAAACACACACACATATAACCCTTAGGCGCTACGTTACAATACAGCCAGATGAAACTCACCACCACCAGGAATGTAGGAATCCAGGGGGTTCTCCGAGTGTTATGTTTTTCTCCCATCGGATCTACAAATAAAAGGGATTTCAAGAATTTTTAATTTTCTTTTGAGAAGGAACATGCCATATAAAATGAAGTGTTAAAAATAGGACATGATAATATGGTTGAACTTTTACCCCAAATTCCACATACCTCTGATAAAAAGGTCTGAGCAGACTTCTGTGCACCTATGTGTAACAAATACTCATATACGTATAGAGCCAACCTGTGTGGAAATAAAGATGGAAATTATAATTATTATATAAAGATTTTTTTAAACCAAATTAATGGTGAAACATTAATTCTTCCTGTAGGGGAACAGTGAGTGACTGGAGTCTGCTGCAGGCCCTGTGAGTGTGTGTGTGTATGTGAACAATGGCTGCCAAAAATTAATGGGGACTGAAAAACAAGGCAAGCCTGTTGAAGATTTACTACATTGATCATGTTTAGAAGCTACAAAATAAGAGACATTTAACGCCCTGGCGAGGCACATAAACCACGACCAGCCTGTTGTGTGTTAGCTTTTACAGGGTCCTGGTAGCACTGATGAAGCTAAGGGCAATAAAACCAGAGACAGAGAGAGCGCAACAGAGAAAACAATGCGCCGAAGCGCCGCGATGTTATTGTTTTCTCCCCTTTTCCGTGCTCTCGGTTTGAAATACCGCGAAAATGTCTGACAAGCGTCGCTTAAAAACAGCCCCAGACTGTGCCGAAAACTGGTCGCGGAGAWGTAAAAACACAGCAAAATGAGGGGGGGAAAGCAGCAGCTCAGAAGAAGGAATGGCGAGCAGACAAGGCGGTTCATTCAATTCCATTCTCGGTAGGAGGAAATCGCCTCTCGCTAGCCTCCCCAGCGAACAACAGAYAGCAACTTACGTGGTGGAAAAATACAGAATAATAAACGTTTTTCTGCTTACTTTTCTCGTGCTTGGCTGTCCGACGGCACCGGGGTGCCTTTGCCTTTAGGGAACATTGTTTTGTGTGGGAGAACGCCCGCCTTCTCTTTCTTTTTTGGTTATTTCATCTGTCAGACCATCGCGGCCGCGACCCTCCTCAATCCYACGACTCAACCGAGCCTGGTCTGGGGAAAGAGGCGGGGCCTATGTGAGTGACGGCCCCGACCGCCAATCAGAACGCAAGGATCGAGTCGGGGTCCACCTCTTTGTGTTTTCTGTTTACAGTTCTGACGTCGGTAACTTCAATACCAATGAGTTTAATTTAAGGTACAAATTCACGGTTCCAATACTATTTGTTGACTTTTTAATTGCAAGTAAACGAATGCTTTTGTGTGTTCCAAATCTATTTGTGAAATGGAAACCGGTGTGTCATATATGGTTTAATGGATGATCATGACAAAATAAACAATGTCTTTATGCAATAAAACAAGATTTAAAAAACAGCATGGCTTCAGAAAGAAAACAACCTTCTTGATATTTGATCCTCTGTCACTCACTGTTTTTAACACTGATTAAAGCAAATTTAAGAACTGGTTTAACATTGTAAATGGTGACTGCAATATCCTACAGTCAAGGAGGGGGAAAAAAAGCTAATAATGTAACAACCTTTAATCAGTAGACAGATCAAAATGCAGCAGCTAGAGTGCCTGACTCATCTGGAGGACACCAAGACAAAACATTTTAAATAAATATATCCCTTTATCATATCAAGACATTGRCAACAACAGTTTCACACTAACAATCCCTGTGCTAAAAGTCACACAGTCGTAGCTGTCCTCTTCTAGGGGCTCTGCACTACATCTACTAAAATCCAAGTTTGAAGCAAGAATGAGAGAAGACTTTGGTTAAATGATTTTACCACCACAACAACTGGTCTTTTCAGTTTCTGAAGCCTTAGCAGTCAGTGTTATGAAAAAATACTATGATGCAACACCACACTGGTAAACAATGCCTCTGCACTCCATCTTGTTTTAAAACATGTTGCTGGCATCCAATTAGAAATGCATGATGGCTTGTTGTTTGTTTGGTTTCCACTGGCTACAGGGTAATTTTCAAAATGAATTAATTTGTATGGATGCCGACTCAGCACTCACACAACTGTCCTCTTGTTTTTGACTTTTACATAGCCAACTTTTTGTGCAATCCATCTACTTCGGCATAAATTGTGGTATTTTAGCCATTTATGTGTCAAAACAGTCAGCTCAATTAYGAGATGGCTTTTTACGGAGCCCCCAAGGAGACATTGGGACATTTCTCTTGTGTTACTTCACAATACTTTTGTGTTCCATCACAATACTTTTGCATTCCCATGCAATTCTTTTGTGTTGTCATGCAATACGCTTGCATTACCACATAATACTTTTTGCGTTACCTTTCAAAACGTTTGTGTTCCCATGGGATACTATTTGCTTTTTTCATGACATGTTTATATTCCCTCAATACTATTTGGGGTGCCTCATACTTTTGTGTTCTCTTGCAATGCTTTTGCATTATATCGTAATATGATTGTGTACCCTTGCAAATTTTTTGTGTTACCTCTCAATAATTTACATTTTCTCACAAAACTTTTTGCATTACCTCAAAGTACTTTTGCGTTCTCACACAATAGTTTTGCTTACCTTGCAATCTGTTTGCATTCCCTCGTAATAATTTTTGATTATCTCAAATTACTTTTGCATTAGAGTACTTTTGCTTTCCCACACGATATTTTTGAATTACCTTACATACTTTTGCCTTCTAGTGTGATATTTTTTGCTTTCCCTTGCAATACTTATGCGTAGGTTCACAATTTTGCGTTGCATCACCTAGTGCTGGGCGGTATACCGTTTTGTACCAAATGCCGGTTTTTCTTTTTGTTATGATATGAATTTTTTGAATACCGGACATTCCGGTTTAAATAACGGAACGTTTCGTCGCGGCCGCCAGTGAACTGTTGTTTCCCAGGGGACATTTTTCCTTGCTGCACCGCTATGTGCGTTAGCATGCTAATGTTTGGAGCAGCTAGTTGTAGCCGCGGGTGGCGATTCCACTGCTTATATTGACTGATGTTTAAAAAAACATCCTGTTTTCGACGTCGCTGAATGTAGTAAACACTTCTTCAGTGACGTGCACAGTTAGATTTAACGCGGTTAGTTAATATGGAGACGTTATGCTGATGGAGACTTAATGTGGTTCTATTGTGAAAAGCCTGCGGGAAGTAGTTCGTAGCGGAGTTAGAATTGACTGGTGTGCAAGGTGAGTCATGCTGATAAGCTTTAATAAATAACATAAAACAATAAACCCGATCATAATCTTTTCTTAACCCTCCTCCTTTATGACTGGACCAAAATGCATGACTACTGTCTCCAACCACCAGTCAGAGAAGAACAGACAGAGGAGGYAAACAGCGACACAGACAGAGGTACAGTAAAAGAAAAAAAGTCAATAAGCAGGGTTTGTACATTTTATTATCAGCTGAGCTGTGATGAAAAGAAAAATACCGTCAAATATCGTGAAACCGGTGAAAATGTTGAAAATACAGCGATATAAAATTTTGATCATATCGCCCAGCTCTATCACCTCACAATACATTTGTATTTCCTCACAATATTTTGGCATTACCTCAAAGCTGTGTCTTCTTGCAATACTTTTGCCTTATACCTCGCAGTGTTTGAGTTCCCTCTCAATATTTTTTGCTTTGGTTTAAAATARTTTTGTGTTARCTTGCAAAACATTTGCTTTCCCARRCAAAGTTTTGCAGAATTGCTAAGCCAGACAAATCCTTGCACTGTTTTTTATARACATATATCCCACAAAATAAGCAAAATAAGGAAAACTAATGTCTCCTTCGGGGCTCCGTATTTTGCTGATTTAAACTTGTTAAATCACATTGTTATTTCTCTTGTTTAAATCTATTCCACATACAGTCTTATAGTTAATAAAACTTATAAGTTGCTATTATTCAATAAAAATTATTCATATGTGGCGGTGTAATAKAAGTGAATACAATGTTTTGTTTACACTTTTAATTGGTGCTTCTTCGTGAGAGCTAACTCCAGTTCCACCTTAAAAACCGGACACTGTTGTCGCCGCGTAAGGAGGAGGAGGAGGGCGTGTCTTCCTCCCTCCGGTGGACCTCAGTGAACTTAGTAGTAAAGCAGCTGTGAAGGTACTCAGTTTCTGTGTTATTGAACCAGCAGCTCAGAGAGACACATGGCTCGGATATCGCCCAGCCGGGTTTTAAAGCGCTGAAGCCGCCGCCCCTCCAGCTCCAACAGGACCAGCTTCACCCGGAAACTTTAACTGGAGTGTGTGAGCCATTTTGTGTTGTTGTTTTTCTACTTAATTCGATGTTGTGTTTGTTGCACGGTACACTACTCTTAAYCGTGTTTAGGTGTTTTAGATATTTAAGGTGACAGTTGTTTCCCTGTGATTCTCTGAAAGTTCTTGGACCTCCAGGACCTGAGTGGTCCTACATACCCGGCCTGCACCCTTCTGTTGCCCCCAGTTTATCAGCAGGTCTTGAAATAGTTAGCTCAGCTCCACTAAAGCAGACATGCCTCAGCAAGCATGCATTTAAAACAAYCCTGTGCATAAAACTTACTGAACAAGGTTCTTGTTACATAACAGGGCATTTCACACGGTTGATGCAAAACAAAAATGTTGAGAAAATCCTCCTTCAAACCAGATTATTTGAGGATTATTTTAAGCTCGGTGTGCTTTCCCCAGGTCTGAGAGAGTAAAACTTGAACTTGGTTAGGTATGTGAAAAAAAACAACTGGATGCAGCTAATGCCAAGTAACTAATACAAACTGTGTTAAAATTGATTGAGAAATGAGGAAGTTATGCAATTTTAATGGAATAAAAAGAAAACTTTGATGGGCTTTAAAACCTTGAGTTGACAGATTTTTATGAAACTTTCTCAGATTGTAAAAAACAGTTAATATTAAAATATATTTTACCGTTTTAAAGAATATGTGTCTGTTGTGACTTTTGATCGCTGATTTTCAGAAAAATGTTTAAATCGTCTGTGCCAAATTTGAGGATTGTCACATATCCAGGGGCGGAGCCAGGGGGTGGCCACCATAGAAAATCTTTGGCCACCCCAACCGCCTCTTTAAACAATAAAGAAGGGGAAAAAACGATAAAGGATTCATTTTTAACTCTTAAACATTTCAGAAATATATAGATCATAGATCATATATAAACCATAGTTATGTTCAAATTTATACTGATGCATCAAAAAAACACAACAAGTAAAATAGGAATAGCAATAATAATACCAGAATTTKATATAAAACAAGCTAAACGAATCACAAATGGACTGTCAGTATACACCGGGGAAATGTCAGCAATATTATTAGCAGTACAGTGGGTAGAGGAGGTAAGACCATTAAAGAGTAACTTACCCCAAAATTAACTTTTTTTTTAGCTGATAAACTGTCTAGAATGTATCTAAAATGTTATATAGTACTGTTTCTGTGCTAATTTTGATGTTTTTGTGCGTATTTGTCCAAATCTGTAATATTTGGTCTAAAAACGTGTTTTTGCTCATATGGGTGGAGCAGTGGTACTGCAGGCTAATTTGCATATTGTTTAACGGCTCTCCATGGTGACGTGTCTTCTCCACGGTTTCGTCACAGCGGCTGTGTTCTGGTATAAAAGCCTCTCTCTAAGACACGCCCCTGCAGCAGTCAGAGGGTGGAACAGTTAGCAAGCTTAGCATGATCGTCTGTTGACCTTCAGCCTCGGGTGGGGAGAGCTGACTGCTGCGCTGCTCCCCCCCCCCCACACACACACCAGCAGTACTCCCTGCACAGCGGGAGGGGAGGAGGGAAAAAAAGGCAGAAACACAGCGGTGCAGCTGCAGCCCTAATGGACCAAACTTCAGTCAAACAAGACCCAACAGTTTTATTCCTGATTTAAACTAGTGATCTTGTGAGCAGCTGCAGCTGTATGCTTTTATTTTTTTATGTCAGGCTGTCACAGAGCTCTCCACTCCTCTGTCCGAGGCTGGTATGGTGTGAGGCGGACAGCTCTCTCATCCTGGCCACACCTCCGCTCTCTAACCCCCCCCCTTCCACCCACTTTGATGCATTTTTCAAATTTCGCCTTGGGGCYGAGTTATCTTTTCACAGGGGGGTAAGATACAACATAAGATATAACATTAATCTGTTCAGATTCAAGTTCAGCACTCATAAGTTTACAGAACAGCCACTCAGAAAGCAGACCGGACACATTATTAGAAATACAGCAAACATTATTCAGAATACAGATGATGGGTTTAGAAATAACATTCATATGGGTACCAGCACACACTGGGGTGGAGGGAAATGAGGCAGCAGACAGGGCAGCAAAAAGGACAACAACAGGACAAATCAACTTCACAACCAATATAAGTAAATCTGAGGCAAAAAGTTTGGTTAAATTAAAAATCAAAGAAAAGTGGCAGAAAGAATGGAACGATGAAAAAAAGGAAGATGGTTTTATAAGATCCAAAGGAAAGTGGGAGAAATGAGAGTAACTAGGAGAAACAGAAAGGAAGAGAGATTATTAACTAGATTAAGATTGGGACACACTGGACTTAATAGTACACTCTTTATAATAAAAAACATGAAAGTGGAAACTGTCAGCATTGTGGAATACTAGAAACAATAGAACACATAATATTAATATGTAAAAGATATGAGAGGCAGAGAAGAGACATGATGGAAGAATTCAGAACAATTAAAGAAACATTCAATATATCAAATTTATTACAGAAAGGTTCAGGAATTAACATTTTAATTAGGTTATTCAAGAAAACAAAGTTAACAGACTATGATTATTTATTTGTTTGTTTGTTTGTTAAGTAAGTAAGGAAAAGAATGTAACAAATACAAGTTAAAAAGAGGCATAGTAATAATCAGTAAAGATAATATAGTATTTTGACCCACACTCCATTCTAGTAGGTGGTGGTAATGCACACCACAAGTTGTTTGCCAACTGCATATAAAAATATGAAGAAGAAAAAGAAGAAGAACTGCCACTTTAAGCTATTTCTGCACGCAGAATGTTCATTTCAGCTGCACTGCTGAAAATGGTAATAATGTAATTCTACATGTTGATCAGACATCAGTAACCTGCCATGTAGAAAAATAAAAAACACTGGGTCACCTTTTTGAATATTATCAGGCTGCTCCACTTCATATGGTGCATCTGAAAGATAACTATTTAAAAATGTAGCATTCGGTAATAGCCTTTTTAAAACAAAAACATCAAATATTTAATTTGTCTCCCCGTCGCACTGAGTCTACATGTCTCTGCATTTTCCTGTCTTTCTAGAATCATGACGTCCGAGAAGCTTGCAAACCTGACTTTGCACCCCCAGTTAATCCAGGGTGGTTGTGAGGAAGTGCACAGAAACCCCACCGAAGTGCAGATGAGTCAGATCGTGCTGCCCTGCCATGCCAATCACTGCGGGGAGCTGAGTGTTGGGCAGCTGCTGAAGTGGATGGACTCCACAGCCTGTTTATCCGGTGGGGAAGTATTCAGAAATCCTTGAATGGTTACAGATGAGATGTTAAAGAGGAAATTTTCATTCCCTAGAAAGCTCACAATTCGAAAGCAACCTAGAATATTCTCATTGTTAGTTTTAAGTCCAATGTGTGATCTCTGTATTTCACTTTAATGTGTTTAAATGCAACAACCTGATAAAGCTACTGCTATAAAAAACATAAAATAACAGAAAAAACCGCAAAATGAGAGAAATAAAATGCAAAAGGGGCACATAGAGAAATTTGATAACTCAAGTTTTGAACAATTTTTAATGCAGAATAAAAACCAAACACAAATTATTATTATTATTATTACTATTTTATGGGTCATCTGCTAGTTAAACTTAGAGGTGTGGTTACTCATGTGTTTACCTAATTAATAAAGTTTGACTTTATTTTTTGGTTTTGTGTTTGACCTTAAATCAGGGCTGTTTAACTAAACTGGCCACAGTTACACAACGCCAACAGCTCAGGGGCTGGACATCCAGGTGTGGGGGAGCAATTTGGGGACGTTGCCCAATAATGAGAGAGGAAACACTGCATTATGTGAAAGAACAAGTGCTATCTTTTACCTTTTTCAATTTGGTTATTATGCTGCATTAAATCATAATTTAAAACAATTAAAATTGTTTTAAAATCTATTTTAATACTAAATGATGTAAAAACATTTTTTATTGAACTCATTTGCAGGCCAGACAAAAGTCACACGCGGGCCACATCTGGCCTCTTGAAGGTTTTTCTCACCTTCGTATTTAATTTATTTTTTTGATCCTGTGTTGATTTTATTTCTGAGCATGTTGTGTTTATAAAAGATGCTGCACAGATATTTTGACTTGTCACAAAACCAGAAGAAATGATAATGTGTAAAACAGATGCTGAAGATACAGTCACCTCCAAAAACACTTTTACATGCAAAATCCCCACATACAGTTACAAAAACAACCAAAGAAACTGTATTGACATGCAATTAAAGAGTTGTCTTTTGCAATTTGTTCGTTTCTTTGGTATTTATCTCTTTTGGTGTTTGGCTTTATTTGTTCTATTTCTGGTTTTGGTTCATTGCTGTCACAAGTTGTAAATTCAGTTATTTATCTGCACTTATCAAAACTAAGTGCACTTTGGCTAATATAATATACTATTTAAAATTTGATCAAGATACAGTATGTGTATTTTTAATGTGTTTATAAATATCTCTGARCTTGTAATGAGCATTACTGATGTAAAGTTCAGTACATTTATATAACATGTTATATACTGATCTGCTGTACCAAAGACTCCAAAGAGTTCAGACATTACATGTCTAAGGAAGAGACCCCCAGCAACTGGGCCAAGGACCAGTACCAGCCCATGGATCACCCCCCACATTTGTGGGAATTTGTCTGGCCCAGTTCTGGCCCCCACAAGGCATTAGCACAGCCCAGATACAGCAAAGAGTGATGGCCCTTTGGTGGCCCAGATGTGGTTTGCCAGAGGTGGTCCATGCATGGGCCAGCTCCTCATAAACAAAAGCACAACTAAGTCAGTTGTGGCATTCTATCACATAAACAGTTCCATCATTGTCAGACCTGACCCACATCTGGTTAACAAGCCACTCACCATGACAGCAGTCAGCCAGCAGGGCCAGGTTGACACCAGACCTGACCCACATCAGTCTGCAATGTGGGTTTATCTCTGGGCTCCACAGAAATAATAAAAAGCTTTTCTTTAAAACATTTAAACCAGGACTATTTAACTAAATTGCTCAGAGGGCCACAGTTACTGAAAGCCAACATCTCAGGGGGGCGGACATCCAACATTTAAATAAATACAGTCTATATCTAATTTCTTTTGAGTTTAAATCTAATTTAAAATAAATTAGGCTTAAACTAAACAGAAAACTATATTTTTGTGATTGTAAATAAATTTTTATATTAAATGGAGACATTGGCAGGTAGACTGAATGTATAGCACTGTCAAAGATCATCTATACAGCAGGACTGCCACTCTGACTGAAATATATTTGTCATTCAAGTTGGGGAAAAAAAATATATACAAACAGTACACACACATATTAGGGGTGCAACGATACAGAAAATTCACGGTTCGGTTCGATACTTTAGTCTCAAGGTTCGATAACTTTTCAATACAAAAAACAGAAATTTCCATGCCCCTTTTAACCTGTAATTTATTTAAATTATAAATGAACATTTGTTTAACATCAAAAGTACAGTTTTTAAATTAAATGTTGCTGAAACAGCAAGTTTCTCAATGGATCTGCGCTAAAAAATGCAGCCTAGGTGGAGCAGTCGAACAC